ATATTTATATATATATATATAAAATGTACCAGCCTTTTTTAAATTTAATTAAATTCATGTTTTACAATTTTTAACATATTATACCATCACTATGTTACTTTGAGGAAACTACACTGTAGACTAAGCACAACACTGGTGTTATTTTTCCACCAGAAATAATTGTCCTCAGTGATGGTCGGAGAGAGGACTGAATCCATCCTCAGTTTGAGTAGATTTAATTTTCTTTAATAAACTGTCATACTCACAAAGACTATAAACAGTGGCTGTTACAGGTCCAGCCTTTCCCATAACGGATACAAACTAGTGTTTAGCTTGCCTCTGTTGTGACACCTGACAGACGCTTGACAGTCAGTAGTCACACTCGCTGTCTCTCGAGATCTGAGTGTCTGTTAACTAGACCGCAGTTGTATGAGGGAGTGTTAGTTTTAAACATTTCAGAACTTAATATTCAAATCAATATCTACAATCTATGGCAGAGTAGAACCTGCAAGCTGTGGAAGCTAAATTCACAGCAATGAGCTGTTCCAATTTGTATCTTTGCTCGACTATCTGACAGACTATAAACTACAGGACCTTGTGTCCTATTACCGAAGTTTTATTATTTAATTAAGTATGTTTAACATTCACCATCATTCTTAAATCTCTCAAACTTCTGCTTTTTGTTAAAAATTCTTTGTCCAAATTTAGTTTGTCATGTCTGTGCATCAAGCCAACTTTGACTTTTTCTTCAGGTTATCATAGTAAAATCTCATTACTTTCCATTTTAAGATAATAATCCAATTAAGTTCAATATTTGCATTAACATTTAATTTCCCAACTGATAAGTAATTACAAATTACATAACACTTGTTTAAAGTGCTGTTTGTCTGTGCACTTTTTGTATTTTATTGTACATTTTAATATTTTTTGCACTGTGTTGATTGTTATGCGCCATCCACCATGTCAAATTCCTTGTATGTGCAACATAATCTGGTGAAAAACTGTTCCGATTCTGAATTCACCAAATTCCAGTCTTTCCAGGACAGAAACAACCACCATCTCCTCACAGAACGACATTTGTTGACATTACAAAAGACAAAAGAAACATGCTTAAATAATCTTTATTTCACTTGATCCATCTTCTGTCCATGTGCCGTAACACCGGAACCCCTGATGAGTCGGTTTGGTGCTGCTGTAGCATGTCCAGGGGGTCAGACCCGCTTCAACAGCACAAACTGTGAAAGCTGATTGAGAGGTTTTCACCAAGGTACTGAAATTCCCAGGCAACTGTTAAGTGTCATTTTTAAATGAAGTATAACCAAAAACAGCCGACACCATTACAAACAAAACCGTTCAACATGTGAACAGCAGCTTTGGTTAGTGGCCTGTACGTATTTACTGCTCAGAGGAAAAAAATCATTCAAATGTATCTAATGATTCAAGTACACATCTGACCATAAATCCCTATGCAGTCTATCTGCAATGCATGCACATGATAGATTGTATGAGTCACCCACTCGCATTAAAAAATATACATGACAAAAGTTCCCATTCATTGGTATCCCATTATTGTGTCTGTAAACAGTTCCTAGCATTTTTAAAGTTTCTTAAAAATCAAACAGTACTGCTCTTATAATAGATTACAATTATCCACCAGACATAGCTAAAACGTTTCTCCTCTCAAAAAATATCAATACAAATATGACATTACCTTTCTTAATCAGGCATCTTTTGTTTGTAGTTTGTATGCATTTTATTTCATGATGTTAATTAAAAAAATAATTAAAACACTCACACAAACACCACACGCATCTTCTTTTAGGTCACATTGTTTGTAAAGTCAGTTTCTGGTTTGGCAGTTGGAAGTAGCCACTCTGGGTGTAAAGACAAGAGGGTGAACGAGGGAATAATGAGGAACATTTAGCCGACAGTGGAGAAGAGTATTTCCAGAATGTCACCGTGGCTGTTTGCGTCTTTTTGTCACAGAAGTTTATGCTCGAACATTAAACTTCCCTTAAAATTAAGCTTCCCTTAAGTGAACCAGATTCAAGGATATTAATCAATTTCCTGCATTTCTGCATCTTACTACTGTATTTTATTTCTTACACTGCTTTTTAGTGTTTTAATGACTATTTTTAATGTTTCTTAATTGTTTTTAAATCTCCTTTTTTGCCTTGTGTTTTGATGTTTTTAATGGTTTTATGTGAAGCGCTTTGAATTGCCTTGTTGTTGAAATGTGCTATACAAATGAACTTGCCTAGTATTTGTGAAATATGATGATTGGAAAATTGATGGTTAAAAAAGGCGAACGTCTGCGAGGAGGAATAGTGAAATTGCCTTCAACAGTGGGAGCTAAGAATATAAATGTTGGCCATCTTGAATCTCGAGAATTAGTTTAAAATTAAGGAGCACAAGTGAAACGCCCCGTTGAGAGTTTGTTGAGTCTTTATGTCAGCTGAAGTGTTGAAGGCATCATTAGAGCTCAAGGAGTTCCTTGCATACCATCCAGTCGGTCCATCCCCATCCTTCTCTCACATGACGTCGGCCCGTTTGTCCCGGACTTTGTTCCTCTGTTTCGTCCTGGCCTTGAAGGCAGCGGAGTTGAAAAGATGCTGTTGAAGAAGATTAACAGATGAGCGCAACAATGTTTTTCTTCTCAAGCTGTAATCACACTGGATGCATTTCTATATTTTGCACCATGTGTAGCTGAACAAGGATGCAGCATAAATGCAAAACTGAAAAATGCAATGACAAACTCTGAGGTCAGGTTGTTGCAGTGAGCAGAAGAGATGCTGTCACCTTCTCAAATCTAGAGATCTTGTTGGCTTTGACCGTGGCGTCCAGGATGAGGGGCAGGCCGAGGCCAAAGATGTCTCTCAGTAGTGGGTTGAACTGCACCGCAACAAAAAAACAAAAACACTGAAATTAAGTATTGTGTCCAACTGTGAAACTATTGATTTTGCCGTTTTGTGTTTATGTAATGGCGAGACCGTCAACAGTCAAAAAACAATTGTGGGGAAGCAAATGAGTGGATCAAGATAACAGCGTTGAAAATCTACTATTCACCTTCAACAGCCTCTAAAATATGGAGAACGTAATGGAATAAACCGTGTAAAGTCATCTTGCCTACCAAGGACCAGTGTGTTTGCTGACCTGTAGATGGTGTCTGACTCCGGACTCCAGGATCTCTTTGAAGGCATCGTAGATTCGTCTCCTCATCCAGCTGTCGATGTAAACGCTCTCCACGCCAAACCTGATCTTCTCCTCGGTGAAGTCCTCGCTCTGCAGGAGAAGAGAGGAAACATCACAAAATCAAAGCCAGGGCACATGTGCACAACTGGAAATTTTAGGAACCATTTTATTAATACAGAAGTAAAACCATTCATTACAAATATCATCGTTGCAGCTATGAAACAAACCTCAATGTAATGTAGCACGTCTCTGAAGACGGAGCGCTGTTTCCGCCGGTCGTTCTTGGCTCGATGCTTATTGCTGTCTGTGGCTAAACTCTTCAGACATTCACACATACTTTCACTGTCCTCCACCTCAAAGTCCTACACACAAGAGACAGAATTGTAGCATAGAAATCTGATATTAAAACCAGAAATACAACAGCTATGGGTTTAATGGTAAAAGAAAGGTACTCAATTGTCTGTGTGTGGGTGTTCACCTCGTCTATATCTCGTCTGAGCTCCACCAGCAGGGCGATGGTCTCTCCCACTGTTATCCTGTAGTTGACGTCACTGCTCTGCAGACACGCCTGCAGTTTGGGGAGGTGACTACAGAGAGGGCAAGAGGGGGAGAGAACCACTGTTGGGATTTATCAAAATGTCACAACCACGAAACTAAAACAGAGCTAAACTGAAGCATAACAGTTTGGACACAGTTTGTTCCACTCACAGGTCAAGCAGCACAGCCAGTCGAGACGCAGGACAGAGGGTGACCAGCAGTGACCAGGCCTGCAGGGCGGCGTTGTGTAGGGCTGGACTGCCGGGTTTGGGTGTGGGCAGCGTCCCCTCTCTGTTGGGGTAGGACGACGTGAACACGCTCTCCAGCAGGGCCAACGACTTGATCAAGTCCTGGAGAGGTTCAGTGGAGATGTTGAGGGGAAGAAGGCAGAGAAAATATAATGAGGGACGAGAAGACGAGCTGTTGATGTGTAACAAACACTATTGATCAATACCACTATTGCATTATCCCAGATAATAGAGCCGTAGACACACATTTGACAGGATTTTATCTGGGAGATTTTTCAGAAGGCTTTTGTTGCATGATATATTTGAGTGTGTGGAGGTAACAACAGGTTAACAGGACCATGTGCACCACTAGCAGTCAAACAAAGAGTAGTGAGATCATGATGGATTCAGCCTTTGAGAGCAAGTTGTTCTCACCTCTCCTTCTTCAGAGGTAGAGACATAGCAGCACACCCCCAGAGCTCTGGCACACTGATGGAGAAAAATGAAATGGAAGTCAAATAACCGGACATTTACTCAAACAAGGACAAAGAGTGAAGCAGGGATTACCCAGATGCTAAGCTTGCAACATCAAAACTCATATGACCATTGCAATAGAGTTGCTACCATGATCCTAATGCAATTTGTTATTCAAATAGCCTAGTCAACCCTGAAGTTGTTATAGTTTGTCAATGTTTTGCCTCAATAGACTACAACAATGGAAGGGAGAGTGAGGTCAGCTGGGTGGAAGAAGTGCTTTTCAGAAGTTGCACTAAATCAACTAGTAGCTTAACCAGATGTTTTTGGTTTTGTTGTTGTCACATTGCCGAGTTTTCAGCTGTAACCCGTGTAACTCATTTAGGATCCAGCATTTACACATGGCCTGCATATGTGCGAGCTGATGTGCGTTTCATGTTCTATTTTCCGCTCCTCTTGTCATTTTTTTTCCGCGAGTTTCTGGAAATGAAAGATATCCAAAGTTTTGCATGATATCAGAGAATGTTTATGCGATTACTCACACTCTGGCGGACTGCTATGCTGGCACTGTTGTCAATTAGAATTGCGGTGAAGATGGGGCGAAGCATCTTGAAGCCCTCCTCTGCCTCATCTCCACCCCCCAGCTGGATACAGAGCAGGGTGAAGACCATGGCCGCCGCTACCTGCTCCTCCACGCTGCCTAAAAAGGGAAAAGAAGGTTTTTTTAATCTGTTTAACTGCAGTTGTTTTTGACTGCGTTGCTGTTCCACCTTGGGAGACAGAGGATGAAATGTTGTATGCATGTAGCAGGTTATTTTACCCTTACCCTTTTTAAGGCTCCTTTCCAGGCAGTCGCTGATGGTGAGGCGTCTCTCTGTCAGGAAGTCGTACAGCACTCTGGAGGAGAAGGCCTGTCGCAACGACTCGAGACCTGCTAGACGCGTCTTAGCGCTGAGAGAGACCGAGCGAGAGAGAGAGGGGACCATGTGTTAATATCTCTCACAGTCTGGTGTTTCACCATCACGTTGCATGTCTTTCTGTTCATTCCTGACATTTCCTATTTCTAATGACAAAGAAACAACACTCGCCTCTTATCCATCAGGTTGTCTATACACTGCTTTAGTTTGTCTTCTGTCTCTTCCTGGGCCGTCAGCTCATCCACCTGCTCCCCTCCTGTGTTGGGCAAGTCAACACACAGGGTTTGGCTAACTGTATTCAACTTCAATGCTTCAGTTTAGGGTCATGTCAGTTTTACTGTCCCAACACCAAAGAATGTGTGTAAGTGGAGAGCGGGGCCCTCCTTCAATCAGAAGATCGGTGGTTCGATCCCCGGCTCCGCTAGTCACACGTCGATGTGTCCTTGAGCAAGACACTCAACCCCAAAATTGCTCCCGTAGCTGTGCCTATGGGGTGTGTGTGTGTGTGTGTGTGTGTGTGATAGAATCTGAATTGTAAGTCGCTTTGGATAAAAGCGTCTGCTAAATTACTGTAATGAATATGCTAATAGGAAGCAAAATGTACTAACATGTTGGCTGTGTTCATTTCCTTTGGTGTATGTAAGCAGTACCATGGCCATCATCAAAAAATAAATATGTATGTATTATCTGCATTTATGTACAAACCTACGGCCTCTTCCACCACAGAAGTGCATTCGCTGGCACTGCTGCCGTGGCTGAGAATATCAGACGTCGGATCATCATCGCTGGCACCGGACTCTCCCTTCACCCCATTTCTAACTCCTGGAGACAGAAGAAGAGACGGATGGGGAAACAGTGAGGCGAGGGGATAATAAGGGAGAGAGGACAAAATAGCAGAAACACTTTACACTAGAATGCCGTCACATAGAAGACAGACGTCTTCTATGAAGCATCGAACCACCTACTGAGAAAATACAAAGTGTCTACACAAGACTGATTCTCACAACCGACGACTAGACTCCACTAACTTACTGTATATAAATAACAGCGATGCTATATTTAAACTGTAACATGACTCGTATCTGGAGTGGCTACACCTCTGCAGTTTGCAGGGTCTGATTATCACGGTGTTAATAATCAGGGCATAATGACAACAGAAGGATGTTCTATGTGTTTATTGATACTGGGCGGTAATTAGTGTTTCCACACAGCTCCGCCCTCTGTGTATGTAGTGCGTCAGTTCGTTACACTGAGTCTGAGCCCGACACGGGGTAAGAGCCAGGCAGCCTAAGCTAAGCTAACCCTAGGGTTCCTGCTGGCTCAGGACTTTCTACTGTGGGGGGGATTACTGGAGACCAGAGATGCAATTCACTTATTCATTCATTCAGTGTGTACAATCCAGAATGGTCAGACTGTGTTTGTGTGTGTGTTCAGGTCAACCAGGACAGTCGAGGTCACTTTGAGTGTTGCAGCAATGCCACATGGAAGTTGTAGTTGCAATTTACTTTCTCCATGAAAAACATTATCAGACAATAGCAACAGGCTCGACGCCTAAATATACCGTAACTATGACAACTAGCAACATTTTGTCTGATATTATTCAGTTAAATCCACCTGTGCTCAGGTAGTAAGACAAGTCCAGAGAAGAATTCAAAAGCAGCTAAATGAGTGACTGGAAGCAGCACTATGTTTGAGCTCATAATGTGTAAACTGAGAAGACTTAATTGTGAAGCTGTTGTCTGACTTGCTATTCTGGTTTTTCTTTTAATTTAAAAGTGAAGATATTTTCAGCCACAAGCCAAATGCTGCTGAATGTCTGCTGTGTGTGACTAATTTACCACAATGCACCACGCTATCATTTAAAGGCAATTTAATGTATGCTTCTGAAAATGCTATTGCGAGGAAAATAGTGACAGTAGCAGTAAAAACTGATTAAACCTGTTTGAACAATGAAGCTTTAACTCCTTCACACCTTACTGTTGGCTGCTGCTTTTGAAACATTTTACAAATGAGCTGACTGGATAATTAAATCAATGCCAAAACTGTGCTGCACTGTAATGACACAATAGTTGCATAGTTGTGGTCCAATTAATAGCTACCGTTTGACTCACGTCAGCATATTACACTGGTTGTAAGTTAGCTTATACTTATATTGTCAGAAGACAACCCTGCCTTCCTGACGTAATATTTTGATTTCTGCAGCCGCTCTCTTTCACACCGCTACCGTTGGCAGAGGAGATAACACTCGTGCGGGCCTGTATCAGTCATTTATTTCCCAGTCATCATCCTTGACCCACCTTGGCTCTTGGCTCAACAGGTCACTTCAAAGCTACACAAACACACAGCTACATGGCTTCCCACGCAGGCCTACCCACACACAGCACAGTTATGATAAGCGCGAGCTCCCTGCCACGACTCACGTGTCGTCTCCACTTTGCTACATTCTGCTTACATAGCAATCACTCAGTCCCCGAGGAAGAGGATCTGCTGACGGACAAATCCCAAGTCCAAGCCAAAGGGGTGAGCTGGAGGTAGTTCGAGTCCCTTGGCCGTGGCCTTGTAGTACAAGCTGGGAGACTAAATTAACCTGTGATCTCTCTACAAGCTGTTGCTGAACGACAACTTCGCAAGTGTAACATCAGATTCTGTCCAATTTGCCATCTGTAGAGATTTGTGGAAACTTGCAGATTTGAACTCTTAATCGACCAATTAATGAAATGTCACTTGTACAAGTATTAAAAACTAAATAAACACACGGCAGCAGTAAGGCAATGTGGGATGGGAAAGCCACAAAGAATGATGACACAATAACAAAATAAACCAACACCTCAGTGTATCGTGCAGTGAGGTCATTTGAAAACAGTGTCAAGAATGTCACACTGGCATGATATGCACATCATTTATTCACATAAGAGAGAGAGAGAGAGAGAACCAAGTCACTCCAGGAAGCAACGACTGCATGAATCCAAACCTTTCTGGGGAGAAAAAGAGGTTGGCTGATCGGAGAGATTTCAACCACAATGGTGCGATGGGTGCACACTCGGACTTAAGCAAAGTATACGGTGACGATGCAAGACTAGATGAAAGCAGCCAATCGTAAGTGTGGGTAAACTTTATTTATAGTCATGTGCCGTTTGTGTTTTAAACAGCCATCAAAAGCATGATGGTGGGGGGAGGGTGTGTTCAAGCATGACATGTACATGACTTAAGAAACTCAAGCAATGAAGGGATTTTGCCAATATGCTGCAAAACCACAATGAGGCCGTGAGAAAGTCAACCAACCAGTCAGTCAGTAAAGTGAGCAGCCAGGGCAGGTAATGTATGAGGAGGGAGAAGTTTAAACATTTCAGTGCGACTGCAAAAACAACATGGGGAGTTTAGCACGAGAGAGGCCGGTGGGTGTATGACATGCACTGTAGTGACGTTCAAGAGCGCCTGGACAAGCCTTAAGCTGGACGCGAAGCTGGGGTCAAGCATCAGAGGAGTTACCTTTCGGCGAGGCTTTAGCCGACAGCTGCAGCTGAAGAACCTCCTGACGAAGACAGCCTGGAGATGAAGTATGGACGGAGGGATGAATGGATGGGTAAAGGGTGTATATAGAGTGGAGCAAGAAGGTGAAGGGAATGAATGAATGAATGCAAAGATAGGTCAAATGCAGGGATGACCATGACGGGGTAGAAAACATCAGAAGTGAGCACCATTTTCCTGGAACTTTTCATTAGAAAATACTGATGCATAATTAACAATGCTGAATCATAAAATTGACACAGATGTGCAAATACTACCTATCTTAGTCAATGTCTGTTATATTTCCCAGTGAGTCTCTATTTTTAATCTGTAAAGCAATTAGCATATATCTATATCTCTCGAAACTGTATATGTGAGTTAGCGTGTGCGTGTATTTCGGCGCTGGCACGTGTGTGCTTCCCGGGTTACGTCACTCCATGCAACGTGAGGGGGCTGCAACTGTTCGCTTTATGTACATCCATGTCTGTAACGCCCTTACAGGCACATGCATGGTCCGCAACACTACTGTACAACGATTGAAACGTGCAACCGTGAATTCCGCGCTGCAATTTAACTGCACGTAAACGAACTCGAAACATGTGCAATTAAAGACCCTATTGTTGCACACGTTGGTCCTCTTCAACGCAGTTTCTCCAAAGTTACGTTACCTGTACTAAGCGGCACATGGCTGCTAAAAATACCGTGCGGTTAACTTTAACCCGGCAAGTGTAGCTTTAGCAAACCAGGGCCCTGAATGCTGGCAGATGTTATCTGTTAACCGTAAACGAATTACACTTTCTTCAGCCCTTCAACGATGTTTTAACTTCTTATATAAACTCAGTAGAGTGAGTAGCTTCAACATAAATATCACAAACACATGCAGAGCTTAGCTACATCACTATGAACCACATGGCAGTCTGGAAAACCTATTTAAGTCAAGTGGCTAAAGTTAGAGGAGCAACCAGCTGTGACATTATCGCTGTTTTTAAATCGTGCCGCGTGGAAAAGATACCCAGACTACTAATGTAACTGTTACAGCTAACGTTAGGTTAGTGTGGCTTAACGAGAAAGGTGTTGCATACAAGCTTTACAGCGTGCATTAGCACTTTAATCGTAACTGCCATATGCAGTCACTACATTCCTGGTGAGTTAGCATGGCTGCTACACTTACCCGGCTTGCTGGAGCCACGTTTCCCTTTTTTACTCCGTGGCATTTTGAGTGCCGATCCACAGTTCACAACAAAGCTAGCTGAGGTTAGCTCGCGAAAGTTAGCGTGCTTTCAGTCAAACTGTGAAGTCTGCTCCTCACAGATTTGACAGTTGGTGTGAAAGTGGCAGCAGCAGCGGGCTGTGTGTTCTCCGTGGTTTATCTTGACAGCTGGGTCAAATTCACAGAATTACACCCTCTCTCACACTTTTGTTGACACTTCGGCTAACGTTGGCTAGCGTCCTTCACGAGCACCAACCACCGAGCACGCTCAGCAAACTCCCCGCTTTCTCCAGTCTTGGAATAAAAAAATGGCGAAAAAGTCACTTTCTTCAATGGTTTTCACGATGTATTTATCTGTGATGGTCCCCCGCTAATCTATATCTAATACCAGGTTGGGAGAGTGAGTAATTTCCAAAGTGTTTGGGACGGAGTTTCGAGCACGCTGCTGTCGCCAAGCCCACCATCTTCCCCTCAGTAACTACTGATCAAACAGGCTGCCGGGGTTGCCAGTTTAGTTTTGCTAGTATCCCCCGTTCCCGGTGTTTAAACCGCCTAACTAACCCCAGATGTGATGCACGAAGCAGGTTTCTAGATGAATGTGAGTTCAGTGATTAGTCTTATTCTGAAAGATGACCAAATATGAGTGAGTTAAGTCAGAATTCTGGATGAAAGTATATATAGTAGAAAATCAGACAGAACTCTGAGACTGTTGAAATATATATATATAAAGAGGATAGTGAATTCTCTGAAATAAAACAATACTCTGAGATATATATTTTTAAATATAATAATAATATGAACTATTTGTGAAGCACCTTTCATACAAGCAATGCAGCTCAAAGTGCTTTTAAATAAAGGGGGATAGACATAGAATTGATATAAACGAAAAAGTAAATAAATTCAGTGGAGGTCATTTGAGATTTATTAAACCGAAACTCTACTATTTGGAACCAGGCAGAAAACTGCCCTGGAAAAAACAAAGTGTGGTGCTGTGAGGGTTCTCATAACACACAACACAGTCCGTGCTTCTAAATCTAACACCCACTGATAATAATGATAAAAAATAAAGTAGAACATATAAAAAATCTGTATAAATCACAACACTGACATGCATCAAGTCTGAATTTTGTGCGTTTTTGGTCATTCATTGCTCTACCAAAACCCATATATGCCACAATTTGATCTTTGGGAAAGTCAAAATTGTGAGACAAATGAGACACTCAGGGCCCTAATCCTGTTCCATATCCCTGGGCCAAGTTTTTTTGCCAGACTGACTGACCACAGTAATGTGAAGAAGTGTCTTGTATTTATAAAAACGCTATCGTATTTTTAAATCAGTCCATTCAGTAAAATTTGAGAGTGGGTCACAAGAAATGTTAAATAAAATTGTGTTTAATAGACAAAAGATAGTTTTAATTCAAATAAACAGCTCTGCAAAATGTTTACATGAAAATTCAATTAAAAATTCAAATCAAGTGACACAAAAGGTGCGTCTTAAAGACAGAGATGACAAAAAACAAACGTATAAATCAGTAGTATTATTTTTATATTAAGTATGTTATAATTTTTCACAAAATAATACATTCAGAGCTCAACAGAAAGTCCAAAGACAATGAAATTACATTTCATTAGGTGCCAGACAGAACACACATAATCACAATTAACATATTTTCCAATTATTTCAAGTTGTCATTGTGCCACATGTAGCGTAAACTTCTCTGTCAGGTTCATCACATTATGATAAAATAAAAAAGGTTTTATTTGATGTGGAGGTTTATGACCAAATCAACAAAGCAAACTACAACTCCCTCAATTTCCCTCCAAACAAGAACTCCGTGAGAAAATCTCCTGATTTAAACAAAAATGCCAATTTCACAAACTAGAACTGACACGTTTGTGTTAATTGGTATATTTCAGAAAGGTGTTTTGTGTTGGAAGGATTTGTAGCTGACCCTGTTTGACCTCTGTTGATCAAGCTGTTTACGACCAACAACAAACATGAACAGAGAGTTGACTCTGTGGGATTCGGAAGGCCTTGACAAAATGCAGACATGCAGTGATTTAATATCAGAAGAACCATTTGGAATCTCTTAGTTTGGTTCAGCGGAAACAAAGTAAATGATGTCCTGTTTCATTAGCTAAATCTATATACTACAACAAAAAAGTGAATTAAATCATTGTGTTTAATGGATCCAGTCTCAATGGTTCTGTTCTTACTTGAATCAGTTTAACCTGCTGTCCGTTTAGAAAGCATTAAAAGAAAAAACAGAAATTGGTCTACGACTAATATTAACAGAGCATCTTAGCCCATGACATCATACATACATTCTCTGACTCAACAATACTGTTTGTAATTGATTTCATGCGCACGCATCCATATGTGAAACCGTGTCACCGGATGATGTATTTTTCTTCTTTTTAGAAAGAGGAGCAGGCAGCATACTAGCTGTGTGTAGAGTGACAGCCTGCTGTTTGAAATGTTTACACTGTGGAGCTGAACATTGCATCTCTGCTTTAGCGTCTCAAAGACAAACTATAATGCATTTAATGTGCCACACAATGAAAGTGTCTGATCACATCAGAGCAGCACACATACTGTATCATATAATAGTTTAGCATTTTTTGGGATTATCTCCTCTCAGAGGACTCATCAATGAAGACGTTCAGTCTTACACTGGTGTTGCAGTGCTGGAGGTAAACAGAAGGGGACAACATTGGTACATATGGACAGAGTGCAGGAATGGTCCAGTGTGTGTATGTGTGTCTACTGTGTGTGTACTGTGTGTGTACTGTGTGTGTGTCCCTCCTATCCAGAATAGTAGTTGGTGGGGACGAAGGGCATCTTGCTGACGGAGGCGGGCACTGCTTTTTTCCTGACCTCGACCTGGATGGCTGTTCCGTTTTTAGCGAATGCCGCATCCACGTAACCCATGGCAATGTTCTTTTTTAGGCAGGGAGACGGGCAGCCGCTGGTCACTTCACCTAAATAAAAGAGCAGAGAAGAGGTCACACTTTGGAAATTTCCATCTGAATCCCTTTCTGGCCACATCGTTGGTCGTCCTCTCTGGTTCAGATTTACTTCCTGAGCAGCACACCGACGTGTTGATCTACTCGATCTTTGGCTGCTCACACATTACATTATTTCACTCCTTCATTCATTCCACCAATATTTTTTTTTCATTATTAATATACATCACAACATGTGAAAATATGTTACAAAAACTGATTACTAGAATTGATATTCATTACATTGATATGGTACGTTTTGTATGATGTCAAACTAAACTGAATATTTCAAATTAAATTAGAAATATTAAAGAGACAATGTGTGAAATTTGAAATTGCGACCCCCAGTGGCAGTACCATGAAAGATACAACAATGCCTGTAAAAATTCTACACAATGTGGCTTTAATATAGACTCTATTTTGTGTCAGTGATGGTGCTGCGTGTTATTTTAAAACAATTAAATTCTTAAATTCTGTTCATTTTATTTCACGTCTACTCCAGCAATGATTTCCTTCCACCGGTGTTGGGCCACTCTTTAATTGAAATTCAGGGGGTACCCAAGCTCCCTCATGTAAACCACTTCCGCCGTGTTTGCTTTCTGACCTATGACCTTTCCATCAGGGCTGAGTATGGGTGTGTGTTGCCTGACGGGGGGGCCGGTGGACACCAGGCCGACTCTCTTCCTGGCCGTCTTGGCTTTGATCTGGGGCACAATGATGTCAGCGCCGGGGAAATCCTTGGTCTGACGCCGACGCTTTCCTGCGCGTAAGAAGACAAAGCAACAGAGTGAACACACAGACCAGACTGCACTGTACATTCAAAGCCCAAGTAAAGTGCCAAATGTAGTCGCTAACTGTGTCTCTCTGCCGTTTTGTGTTGAGCAGGTAGTGTACGGTGTGTTTTTAGGGCCTCTTCACTGAAGGTGAACGTTAAATCTTAATGCAAATATTTTGGAACGAAAACAGAAATCTTACCTATGGTCCACACTAGGCTGCCCTCCACAGGTGTGGTGGTCTCATCTATGTCATTCCCATAGAGACAAAGCCCCGCCTCCAGCCGTAGACTGTCCCTGGCGCCCAAACCACACAGCTTCACCTCACCGTTAGCCAGCAGCTTCTCCGTCAGCTCCACCACTCTGGACTGAGGGACGGAGATCTGAAACACAGAGACACAGACAGATTGTAGAGATGGGTCTCCATCCAAGGAGTTTTAACTGGAAACGCATCAATATTTGAATAAAAACAGTATTTTTTTCATTAAATATATATATAAATATATAAAAGAGATGATGGGTACAAGTAATGACATAGTCCATAGTTGTTTTACTATGCTGAGGAATTAATTAGTATCTTATTTTTACAGACCTCAGAATGTTCATGGAGTAAAAACACAGAGTGAAAGATGAGTTGTGTGAAAGGAAAAGATGAGACAAAGAGAAACAAACTCCCACATTCCCTCTGTTAGCCATAGAGAGACCCACCCACATCCATCCTGAGATCTACAGAGGTCCAGCAGAGAGGGTGAAAAAAGATAAATCCACGTAGTGAACCATTCATCTGGAACCAGGCTGCAGGTTCTTCCAAACAGAATATTTAAAGAGTGTTAACAAATTAAATATCAAGATGATAATTGAGTGACAACAAATTGGAATTGAAATAAAGCTGAACACACTACTGAGACTTGAGGTCTGTGTTTTTCACAGACATTACGCATCATGTGCAATCGTGCAATGTGTAATCGTGACTCAACTATCAGATTCACAGAAACACTTCTTCTGAACAGTTTCATCTTGTGTTTTCTTAGGAATAAAGTGATTCTTCTTACGAGAACAATTACACACAGCAAGAGGAAAAAGTGTACGTACACAACACATGTATTATTGTTTGTTATCCTGTGACTGGGCTTTGTGGATAGCAATGTCTTTCTATTGTACATCAGTGTGTCTGCTGCTCCATCAGTTTGGTTCAGACTGAAATATACGTGAAAGTAGCGGCTTCATTATCTCCGCCAGGCATTAGTCTGGAGGGAGATCATGCGTTCGGACAGGTGTGCATATCTTTCTGGAGACCTGCAATCACTGAGTGCACTTTTATAGATATTTATATATTTGTTAAGTGTAGGAAGGAAGCAAAGAGAAAGAGATGCTGACCTCCACCCCGTCTTCTCCGGTATATCCGCAGCGAGTGACCCTGCAGCCAGGAATACCAAACACAGTGGCCAAGGTGGAGTTCATGAAGGTCAGCTTCGAGAGGTCCTCCTTTAGCCCCTCCTGGAGCACCTGAGCCATGGATGGACCTGACGACACACAACACAACTGATGAACTATCTACATATACCACGGCATGGAGAGTCCGACACAGAGGAGGTCAAATAGCCAGAAAAATTAAATAGCAATTAACAAAAGATTCAGTGTGGGGCAAAGAAAGAAAGTGAGATAATATTACTATAACTGGGAGGAGAGGAATTAAATAGTGGTAAAATCCAGATAGAGGCAAGGGATACCTAAAAGAAAGAAGGGTCATTGAGTTATTGTGAAACTATTCTAATTTCTCTGAATAATATAAAATAACACTAACAGTTTGATGGTTGGTTAGTTATTGATAACAAAGACGAAGAATACTACCGGCTTGGCACTACTGTGAGTTCAGGGACGTAATGACCCTTCCTTCTTTTATAGCTTCCTTGAATAAAAACGAGAAACAGGGCAGAAATGAGGAATGATGGGCTGACATGCGGGAGGAAAAAGACAGAAAGAGAGGAAGGACAGAAACAAACAACAAAATAGGGGGTGTAGGAAAGGAAAGGAGTAAGGAAGAATAGTTTACCTTGCAGAGCAATCAGCGCCTCATCGAGGAACTCCAGATCCACATCTAAACCTTCAGCTTTGAACTCTGCCAGTCTGGCCTATAGGCAAAACACACACACACACACCTTCTATCAGTCTACCACACTCCAGACCCGTCTGTCTACTACACACACTCTCTGTCTGCTCTTACCTTCATATGAGCCGAGTCCTTGTCGGAGCAGCCAGCGTTGGAGACGACGTAGAGGTAGCCCCGGTCCGTCCTTGTCACAATGAGGTCGTCAATAATCCCTCCTTTCTCAGTGGTGAAGAGGGACAACGTACCCTGAGGGGTGAGAGGAAAACGATGAGCGGGTGAATGTGTGACCTATGCAAGGCCCTGTTCACAATAAATGTGTCTTAGATGATCCAATCATAAAGCTGATTATTTCCCAGAAGTTGGCACTAGCTATTCAAAATAACCAAAATGTGGAAAATGATACAAAACTGTGTGATAATTCAGATAAGTGAATGTTATAGAATTATTTCTTATCACATATACTCTCTTTTGCAACCCAAAGTAGAGCCACAAGGAGAGTAACATGAGACTTATATTCATCAGGCGCCCAGAAACACTCCAAATAAATGCTAATGTATCCGCTGAATGTATAAATATCCAACTGTTAACAAACAAGTTCCCCACATACCAACTTAAAAAGGTGATAATGTGTCTAAAAAGTGTGTTTTTGTAGGTTCAACATGAAACAATCCTTCATCTCACTTGGTTGTCCTTGAGTTCTGCGATATCTGCAACTACGAGAGACTCCATGAACTTCACCCTGTCTTTGCCGTGGACTTTGGTCTGAGAGAAACAAAAGAAAAAGGATATTTTCAAACACAGCAATGAGATCTTTTCTTTTTCTGGTTGGTTGCTTCGTGGATCAAAACAAGTCTAATTGACAAAGTGCTGTATTTTACTATGATGATGTGTACTCTATGATATATGAGTTTTTATACATGTATATATCTGTGTACCTGGGTTCAAGAGTGTACTGTATGTATTTGTTTACGCTGATCTCACCTGCAGCATGTGGCTGACATCAAAGATGGAGCAGTGCTCTCTGGTGTGCATGTGTGAGGCGATGTGACTGTCTTTGTATTGGACAGGCATACTCCAGCCTGCAAACTCCACCATCTTCCCCCCCTGCTCCCTGTGGAAGTCAAACAGCGGAGTCTTCTTCAAGGCAGCCTGGTGGGGAAATGAAACGCTATGCTGAGTGAACCGGAGAATAGAAACATATGGAATGCAGTACGTAAGTTTTGATGTATTAATTATAATACTAAATGGAATAAAATATGCATCTTAAGGGTGCTATAATCAGGATATTTTAGTGTTTCCAAAAATGACATTTTATTAGTACTTAATTGTTGTGTGGTATTTTTCAATGCAATGACAATCCAACCACTGTAACATATTGTATCACAATCCCAAGAGGAAGCATACACTTGTCAAATGGTAGCGTGACAGGTCAGTTGTTTCTACACACCCGTGTTCTGTTCTTTTGTGCACCGACTTCTGACCTACGAACCCGCCGGTGAGGGGGGCTTATCAGCGCAGCAGCAGAAGTGCATTATGGGCAAGAGTGTGTCGGCACTTTACATAACACTCAATTGTTTTTTCACGAAACTGTTCCAAGTCCAAAGTCAGCTGTTAATTTGAATGAACAAAGGAGAGGTGGTTGTTCTGGTTGTAATGCGCACACACACACACACACCTACAATTAATGAACTATAGATAACGGATGGCCACATGGTTAGGAGAGGGACTTTAGTCTTTTTACCCCTTTTTGCTTTGTGCAACACTCAAAGATATGCTGACTGAGGATTTATTAAAAAAGGATATACAATTAAGAACTTATATTTTGCATCATTTTACTGATCATTTCATTCATTGCCTCGTCAGTGATGTAATGAGTGCATTGCTGAATGAATGGTTGTGGGTAAGTTCACACTTCAAAGCCCCACATTTAGTAAGCAGAGACAGCGCTCACAGCACTGTGGAGTCAGTCACTCGTGGTTTTAATTTTAAAAAATCCTGTCGTGCAGCACAGTGAAGTGAAGCAGACAGAGGGAGGGAGGATGGCAGTCTGCTGGGACAGATGCACATTATGTCTGCATGACATCACTGCTGCTGTGACACACAGATGTCATTATTGTAATGTAGCAACACTAAAAGGAGGATTCCTGCAGTGACGGTCAAATGTAACGACTCTAACGTCGTCTCCATAAACTACATTTCAAATATCATCCAGGAAATGAAAAATATGGCATAAAGCATTCTCTTAATTAATATTAAAGCTACTACTGAGAACAATTAACACAGCATATGTCTACAACCTTTATATCGTACGATAAGACAAGTAACACCTTGCACCACTGTGCCAAAGCTGCTTTATCCAAAGAGACGCACGAGCACTTTGGATAAGTTGTAGCTTGTTTTGCCGTGCGGGGCATACTTCGCGGTGCACTTACGTCTCCGCTGGAAGCTTGCCTCTTCCCCGCATGTCCAGCAGCAGCCGCCCGCAGCAAACCGTCCCTGGAAGCCCGCAGCCCGAGCCGCGAACCCCCGACGCCGACCAGCAACCGAGCCCACATCATGCCTCCTGTTTCCCCCGCTGAGGTCTCACGCGCGCGCCCGTCTGACTGGCCACACATCCGCTGTTCCACTAAACTCTTTGGACTTCACACTTTGGGATTCCTGCTCGCCTTCTGGCAAAAACACACGAAGCGGTAGCGATTGGAGGAAAGAGCAAAGACTTGTGGGATGTGTAGTTGATGAGTCTGACCTGCAGGAGTTCAAAGTTTGATGGCTCTTGCCTCATCTTATCAAGCAACTAAGATAATACAGAAATAATGCTTTGGTTTTAGGCATAATTCCCCTTTTGCTTTTTGACCACGGATAAGATCATATGGATTATCTATAAGAGCCTTGTTAATAGGCTAAAGTAGTATAGTATTGTTTTTTCAGAAAGCTTGATTCTTTTAAAGTGGATACCATAAACGTGACACTGTTTATGGCTTGTTAATTGAGAGTACTGTTTTTAAATGTGTTGCTTTGTGTGTTAGTTTGTTAAAGCTAGTATTAGACAGTTATTCATGTGGCTTGTGAGGGACAAACCTGATTAACTTCAGCCAAAAACTGACCAGGTGTACACATGTGGTCCAAATATAGTCTGGACCACATGTGCAGATTCAGCACCAAACAATGGCACAAGAAGAAGACAAAACATCTGTGAGCTCAAAGGACTTTGCACAAATCCAATGGAGGGAGTTCATTGGTCCACATGTCCCACAGGAGACAGAGAGGATTTATACGACCATGAGGCCGTTTGATCGCCATAGTGTCTTTGATAGGACATTTAGTTACTGTAGTAATTTATGTGTCATGTATATTTTTATTGAAATGCAATTGTTCTTAAAGGATGTGATATCAATGTAAGATGTGAAGAGATAGAAGACCACCTCAGTTACACACCATTCTTCCACAGATTTTCTCCTTTTGAGGGCAGTGTTCAGGGGTGGAAAACAGGGCAAACTGCAAACTAACAAATTCCAAATCCTGGAGGGTTTTAAATGGCTTGTGCCTTAGATCACAGAGCCAACAGGATCCTCACACATAGCTGTTAGTTTTTTATTGTATTGTTTTTTTTTGCAAGTAGTATCATATCATAAGTCTCCATTATGCTCATTCTACATATTTCATTTACTAATTTTATCTTAATAAAGTGGAACTCATACATCCACGAGTTGGATTTTGCCAATTGCTATTTTCTTATTTACATCCTATGGAAATCAAGACATTTAATCTCATCTGTCGTTATTTTAAGGTCCCGAAAACATAAGAGTTGTTTTTGCCCAGATAAAGTTGCCTACCTCTCCTACCTGTGCACCCAATGATATTTGTCCATGTGAGTTTTTATGAGTTTGTGTG